ACTGGGGGAGAACATGCCAGAACCAAGGACATTGGTGACATGACGTGAACTCCTTAGTGAACCCAGTCACTGTAGCCAGGTTTGCCAGTGATAAACACAAGTTACAGTTGTCGGGCTTGAGTCCTTCCTGAATGAGAGGCTGCGTTACTGGGGTCTTGAGATGTCTTTTTTCACTAAAACCCTTCACCAATTATTCTTACTAGAAATAAGTATCTGGGCTGCAGAGTGATACTGACTGTAGAATTCTTTTTGAATGTTTTGTGTTTTTGGAAAATCCCTCCATGTTTACATATTTTTGCTATGACATGATGGACTTTTTCTCTTGACATTTTTGGTATTTTATTTGATTCCAATTTGAGATTTTATCATTGTATATTGTTATTCTTTCTATATTTGTACTTATATTGAAGTTTTTGTGTTTGCTTCTGAACTGTACATATATTGTTTAAATTTGATAATATGGCTACCGCCACATTTTTGGACGAACGCGGTGGCTGCTGGACTTAGTGTCACTTACTAGTTATTGTGTTGGATACTCTGCGGAGTAATTTAACCCTGGAAGAAACACAAATTCCGTAAGACTTTGTATTTCCATTTTATAATAATATAGAGACGTTTTCTCCTAGAATTTTGCCCTTTTTGATTTGGTCGGGACCCGGAACTAGGAGGAACGTACAGGAGTGTTTCTATAGGAAACAATTGGGACAGCCACTGTCGAAATAAATCTACACTGACTACTTAGTTGTGGACACACTAGAGGTGTTTAGTCGGGTGATCTCTGTGGTACATATTACTCTAAGTTTTATTATTCAGTATCATCTTGAGCACCTCTCAAAACATACACGCTGCCTCACATCAAAATTCACAATGTTGCCGCAACCCTCTTAGACCGAATGCGAAGGGGAGCAACTGGTTCCATAATTGAGTCAGAGAATGAACCTGACAAAGACAGACTCCAACGCTTAGGACTACACCAGCTGAATTGTAGAAGAATAAGAAGCAACCTGATGGTGACTTAATACATGTTGATTACTTCAAGGCACCTTAACTTATTATCTTACCATTGACTCTACTCCGATAGAGAGTGCTCCCAAAATATCTCGCTAACTGAACAACAGTGACCCAGTTATTATTATTGTCATTTCTTCAGACCATTACTTTTTTATCTATCTCGCTTATTGTCTGTGTTTCTTCTTCCTTGTTTACACTTCTATCCTCTCACACAATCATCTCTGCCAATTAACTCACTTATTTAATTATCAACATTTTTCTCATTATTCTGCACATTTCAATTAAGTGATCTCCAGCCATGTGATTTGATTGTTGCAGCTTTCAACAAATACTACTGCTTTGAGACATACATACTCACGTATATCATGGAATATGCAAATCCATGAATAAATATGAGTTTAACAGAATTGTAGCAGTCGAGTGGTTATACTGGCATTTATTATGCACCAATAATTATCTGGAACCAAACTGGCGATGAAGTAAGTGGGATCAGCTAAATTGGTTGCTCTATACTATTTCCGGCAAACACCTGGAATCGTATCGAAAAAACGTGAATCGACGACAAGGAAGTTAAGCGGTTTATACTTACTAGTGACTAAGTTATGGGATATTGAACCGGTAAACTGTAGAAGTGCACTAGGTGATGATACATATCGTCAGGTGCCTCTATAGCAACGTACGAGGACTAAGCGGTAAGCTGTTAGAAATTGGGAATATATGCTCTCACATGAATCTGAAGATTATAATCCTAACGGAAACATGGCTATTCCCTAACATTGCAGACGATGAAGAGAGTTTGCAAAGCATGACGCTCTTCCGAAGCGCTAAGTTACACCAAACATAATGCGGAGTGTCTGTATATATAAACAACCACTTAAAAGCCGAGCGGCTATACGAAAACCAACTAACTGGTGTGACAGAACCATATTAGTGTTGTTTCCACACAAATGGCACTAAATACTTGATTGGAGGGATTTAACGACCTCCCTCGGTTACTAAGGTCCAGAAAAACGAACTGACCGAGGTAATACTACAATTGCCACTCTTGGTGTATGATAAAATACTCTTAGCTGGAGATTTCAATACCCCATCTCTAAATCTCGGCAATCAGAGTACAACTACCACTGGTTGGTTCCAAAGACGACTTGGAGCAGCCATTAGGAGTTATGGGCTGACTAAGCAGTTATGCGCTGCCACCGGATGGACTAAGGGAGGAGAATACTCAAACCTGGATTATTTGTTAACAAATGTTCATCTCTTGGTCTAGGATGTTCACATACACATGCCAGTAGGAAGTAGTGACTTTGGCACAGTCTTGTTCAACATGGTCATAAAGGTAACACTTATGCAGGACTAAAACCAGCTCTACCTTCGCTACACTAGGGTGAATTACGCGCGCATGTGGGAGAATCATCTACGCTCCCTGTGGCCACTGGAGTGGCATAGGTTGACAGTATATGATCACTGGCAAACAGTCGGAGATATCGTCAGGAATACTATCCTAGACAATGTACCCCAGTCATACCACACACCTGGAAATATAAGGACATAAGTTAGGCGAGGCACTAAACGCTTGCTATAGACGAAAATGTGAGTCTGAAGGATTCCGACTAAAGTTCTTACTCGGCATTGAGTAGCAGATGCAACACCGAAATTCGGAGTGTTAGGAGACACTTTCAGATGAAGCTAGCTGTCCAGGTACAGGCAAACCTGAAGCCAACAGACTACACAGCAACCAACTAGCCGGGGTGATAGAAGCGTGTCAGAGTTGTTTCCTCACAAAAAGCACGAGATACTTGATTGGAGGGATTTACAGGCACCCTTCAGGTACTCAGGCCCAGAAAACTAATCTGAATGAGGCAATACTGCAACTGCCACTCATGGGGTTTGATCAAATACTCTTAGCTGGAGATTTCAACACCCCGTTTCTAAATCTCAGCAAACTGGCTACAACTCCCACTGATTGTTCCCAAAGACTATTTTGCGCAGCCACTAGAACTTCTGGGCTTACCGAGCACGTACGCAGTGCCACTGGATGGACTAAGTACAGAAAATCCTCAAACCTGGATTATTTGTTAACAAATGATCATCTCTTGGTCGAGGACTTTCGCGTCTATACAGCAGTAGGAACTAGTGACCATGGCATTGTCTTGTTTAACCGGGTCATAAACGAAAAACTCACACAAGGCGAAAACGAGCCCTATCTTCTCCACACTAGGGCGAATTACGCGCGCACGAGAGAGAAACTTCTACATGCCCGATGGCCACGGGAATGATGATCAGTGGCAAACAGTGAGAGATATCATCCAAAACGCTGCCGTAGACAATGTACCTCGGTCACACCACACATCCGGAAGTGGAAGAACCTGGGTTAGGCGCCGCACTGAATGCTTGCTACAAGCAGAAAGGAGTGCCGAGAACGAGTGGAAGGTCACACTGAAGGATCCCGACCGAAATTCTTACTTGGCTTTGAGAAGTGACTGCAACACCGAGATTAGTAGTGATGAGAGCAGCGTTCACGTGAAGCTGACCGTCCAAAAACAGGCAAACCATAAGCAGCTGTATAGGTTCATGACTAAAAGAAAACCTACAAATCAGGGTTTGTGTTCCCTCGAAGGTCTGAATGGAGAAGACCTCACCAACCTAGAGATGGCTGAGATCTTCCATAACAACGAACAAATTACGGAGTACATGGACATTAACAAAATATTCCATGAAGCCCAACACGGGTTTCGGAAAGGCAGATCGTGAGCATCTAACCTTCTCATAGGATGGGACAGTTGAACATCCTGTTTGTACGGAAAAATACCGGTGCACGTAATATTTCTCGACATCGCAAGAGCCTTCGACACAGTACCCCACGCACGCCTAATCGCTAGGGTTGAGGAAGTGGGCTTCACTGACCCATTCCTATCTTGGTTCAGAAACTAACTTGCGAATTGTAAGTTTCGTACCAAGGAGTGCTCGCGAGCTGGTGAGTCTCAACATCGGTTGTTTCATAGGAGATCATCTCGGGGTCCACTTCTCTTCCTGATATTTATCAACGACCTGTTAGACTCAGTTAACTTACCGGCATTGATCTACGCAGACGATGCAATGATCTGCAAGTTCATTAGAAGCGAAGAGGATTCGGCTGAGCTTCAAAAGGACCGGACATCTTATTGAGGAATGAGCAGTGAAAAACGGTTTAAAAACCAAACAACCGAAGTGTCGCGTTATGTATATTCTGCCTCACATGACGCAAACGATTTACACCCTCAGTGTAGGTGCGCTCTCTAATGTCTCCTCAGAGCGTGATCCCGCTTATGAACACTAACAGACTCCACACAAGCCCGAACTATATAGGGGACGCAGCCAAAGCAAATACGACTCTTCACTTTATGCGAAGACAACTTGATGCTATCACCCCACAATTATTCTCAACGTTATTTAAGACATACGCGCGCCAACACCTGGAGGTTCACAATGTTAACGCACCCTCTCTCCTTAAAAGAGACACCAATCTCTCGGATCGAGTGAAGAGAAGAGTAACGAAATGGATGATAGGGTTGAAGAATAAACCTTAAGAAGATAGACTCCAGCATTTGCGATTATTATCCCTGAGTTACGAGAGAATCAGCGGTGATCTGATTATGGCGTACATAGCAACTGATAAACTAAATTATCCATTTATATTCTTAGTTCTGAAATATTATTAGCATCAGAATTTTCTCCTTATCATTCTCCACATTGCAACTGACTGATCTCCGGTCTGGTAATATGATAGCTGCTGGTATCCAGAAACCCTACTGTCTTGAAACAAAGGTATTCATTGAAATCCCGAGACATACAAATTCACAACCGAATGTCGACTGACTAGAATTAGACAGTTGAGTGGCTAGACCCCCATTCATTGGACACTATCAAATACCTGGAACCGTACGGAAGAAACAAGAATCGAGTGCAAAAAAGCAATTGGTTTATACAAGGTCGTGAAAAAGATATTGGATATTCGATTTTGTTATTGAATGTTGATGCACTAGATACCACAGCAACTGTTTTCAACGTAATTTGAGATGGATGAATTCATTGGTCCCCCTCTTTATAACTACTTTTTAAAAGAAAAACCACGAACAACAAATCAACAGTATGGATATTTCTATAAAGAAGAACAGGCTAAGAAGGTCAATGTTGAGCGAATCGAGCCTCCTGACAATAACGCGGTATCATCTTCGAATTCACTTAAAACACACCCAAGACATCGCCTAATGAAATTAAAATCACCACTACCGAAAGCTATTAAATATCATACCATACCATCTCTATTAAAGTACAGAAAAGACAGTGAAGTTGGTGGTGGAAGAAAAGTCCCGGATACGTGTTTAACCAGAGTTAAAGGAATTCAGCTGTGGCATGCTCATACAGGATCATTAGTTCACATAAAACCGTAACAGTTATCAAGAGCCTATTATAATCTTGGTGCCATGGATAAGATTTTTCGTTGTATTATACGAATTACTTATGCTTAACTTGAGTTCACAGAATATGTTATATATTACGTAATATCATATGTTATTTTGTTGTATTTTATTCGTGAATTTTTTTATTAGTTTGAAGTCTAAGAAGCGGCTCAAGAAGTTTCCAAAGTTTCTGGTCACCTTCTGTTAGTAGGAGTTTATGAATAATGAATATCGTTCAAAAAAATCCTGAAAATTTATGCGATTACATAACTTTGTAGGGAATTACACATTTTCACTGTATAACCATTAGTGTAGTACGTGGATTAAGGTCTCTATATGTTTCTAAGAGGTATTTAGTTCTGACACCACAAGAGGTTATTTCACTAAATTTGACCTGATCCTATTACGAATATAAAATTCACATAGACTGAATATACTCGTGAGGATAATAAAAATTCATAACCGGATACCCGGAATTTTGTTGGAGGGACACTTGATTTCTGGTGGTTGAAATAAGCCGGACATATTCGCTCCATCCCACCCTGTTTATGATATAATAATATCGAGGGCTTACATGTTTCATAGTAAGAAATATTTTCTATGCCACCAGGTTACTAACTGGCCCAAATACTTTGTTTAAGACACTTTCTAGGAGCAATTTCATTTGGTGGGCTAAACAGTTATGATTTCAACGACCGTAGCAAAACTTAGCTTATAATTATTTGATTACTTGGTTCATTTGGAAGGAAATTCTATGACTTTCATGTCTGTATTAGACAAAAAGCTACAGAGTATCGAAGATCACAAACCAGACTTATAATGATGGGAAAGTGCTTTATATTATACTAAGTAGTAAATACATTGTACTCAATAGTTTAGCAGCTAAATTAGACACTTCAGAACAATGTTAAACAGCCTGTGAGTAATACCATTTCATTTTCTTACATTGCAAAGTTGGTATTAGACCGTTTTATTCCACGAGTTAAAGTATAGACCTCTGTAATCTATAAGTTTGTGGAGCATTTGGTAGGGACAATATCGGCTTTCGTTCCTCTTAAGTTTTAGCCATCTAAAAATAGACATGTAAAACAAGACTTGTGGGATTTTTTGGATTGTGGTAGTGGCAACTTTTCAAACACCTTCAGAGACTGCAACTCTACTATGGCACAATATGAAAACGTTCAAACACAAAAGGTAATACTATTTCTCACTCTATGGCATAAGAAATAAAATGTAATACTGTTTTGTCAGAATGATGTTGAAGCTTGACTCTTAACCAGACACGTATTTCTTTGGTTGTGCTATTGATTTTCAGTGCTTTTTTAACACTGATTTGAAGTGTATGTATAAACATATAAGAACACAACTTGAATAACTGTAATAATTTAAATTTTATTGACAGCAACTTTTCATATCTAGTTGATATGGAACGGCAATGCAACTGTACTGTGTGGAAAGCAACTGTATATCAATCTACTATTTGGTTTATAAGCCTGATTCTCTCCTACCTATCCTGATATATTTATTCCTAGCTTACAGAGTTTAGTCTACCTTCGCGAATGAATGTTAGTTCACCTAGCAGCTGTACAGATATTGAGGTTAAGTATTTCAATGTCGATAAGTAGTTGGTTAGCCAGATAAACACGTGTTGACGATTATCATAAACGGCAACAGTTTCAGTGCGTATTTGTTTTCCAAGTATACAGTTACTTTTATTTGAAACTTTTACACTAGGTTGCTGAATTTTCCTGCATGATGTAGTTAGAGTATGCATTGCTATAACGTCTTACACTTGTCGCTTGACTCAAAAGTGGACGAATAATAAAGAGCAAGTGTTTACATTACCTTTCTCCATGTTTTTGAAACTATTTAATTTAGTAACCTATTTAGTGATATGTTATGCCTCTATTATATTCTCCATCAAATCGGCGGAATTCATTGCACATTAAGTACCAGAGTGTTTTCTTTATTTTGAAGATGTTGATAAAAACCATAAGTAACATTATTTGGTAGAGTTTCCGTAAGTTATATATTTGGCCAGAAATCATACAGAAAAGAACTGGACAACGGTAATATGTTGCTTGATATTTAAGTGTACATTTCATTGCACATTATTCATTTCTATAACTATACATTTTTATATTTCAAGTTGAAGAACTACTGAAATTCATCAACCTAATCTATTGAAAACATTTTAATCGTTAACTCTTGGTTCTAATACTAGTTAACCTAAGTTTTAGGTATCTGAACTTGTGTTGAAATTTTCACTTAGGAAATTTTTGAACATTGGATTCATTATATATGTACATTATCAGTTTAGTATTATGTCATATGGCGGAATCGACTTATTAACCCTACGAGTAAACTATGTGTATACGTTTACTATAGAGGCATAATTATTTCTAAAAGTTTCTCAACCTTTTTACCAGGAAGTTAGTAATTTATTATCTTACATTCTTGTTACCATAAATACATGTTCATTAGTTAAAATATAAGACTTGAACTGTTAATTCTGAACAGTCATTAGTTTCAAACTGTTTGAAGTTTGGGCAATAAAGACCTAACATATATTTAAAAACATAAATGAAAGTAATTAGCTGTCATAGCTAATGTACTAATATAGAGGTTTTGAAGACCTCAGCCGTGCATATTGTTATGTCCTCGAACTGTATGCCACTGATACACGGGGAACGATCTTGTCTCAGCCTTGTTTACAGACCATAGGCTGTCTAATTGACTTTGAGACAAGTAGCTCGTTCGTTCAGTTATTACTAAACGGCATTGGAAGAGGGGATGTAACTATTCCATCACTGGATAAGCTATCTAGCGAGAGAAAGGTCTAATCGACTGTAACATAACACCATTTATCCCTGATTCAATCTGCAAAAAAAGGCAGATAAATAAATATATACTTTGTAAGACCACGAAGCACAAAGATTTAGAAAAATACAATTATGCTAAACTTGCCGTTTAGGATAGAAAAAGTCGAATACGGAGGTTACCGTTTAAGTTACAATAATTTTGAAATAAAACAGTATGGCAATTAAAAATCATACATCAACCGAAAGCTTACAGTTTACAGCATAGGATATGAGCAAAAGTAAATGCTAGTATTTAGCAAGCTTTGAATTCGGTGCAATATTGTCTACAAAATAATCAATCCCTTTGTACATACCTGTTTCCTTCTTTAAAATACAACTAGTGTAGCTTGTAGCAGAAGGTTATTTGAAACCTGGAAGCACTGGACGGCCGTCTCGTCCTGGTATGGGACTCTTCAGCAGTGCGCATCCACGACTTCTGTACCCCGCAGGATTCGAACCCAGGACCTCCGGTATTGTGCGCGAACGCCCTAACTGTAAGACCACCGAGCCGGTACCTGACGGTGTTAATGTCTAACTTCATCAAATTCACGGAGTTGCGCAACCTCATGCGCAGTCTTCGGTAGACGGACGAAACGGCCGTCTAGTGCTTTCAGGTTTCTAATGGTGGTCTAACATTGATCGATTCATGCTTTCAAAGATGTGTAACTTAACAATCTTCACAACCCCGTAATGCAAAAAGTTATTTGCCTAATTTCTAATGATGAAATTCAATTTTTTGCCAATGCTCTTGTCACAGAGCTACTACTTTATATATCGCCTAAAGATAATTATTGGTGATTTCACGTGAAATGTTTTTGACAAAAACAATATTGTATACTATGTTATCGGGAAGAAATAATGTTTTATAAACCAGTCCCCAAAGAAAATACCGTTTGATAACATATGGATGTTTACAGAAAACACTTGGTATACAGTTCTATCAATCCATAATTGATTACATTCTTATCAAACTTAATTTAAAATGATAGATTGTCACTGATTTGGAATATTTAAGAAATAGTGAAGAAGAAATATTTTCTGTATAAGCGTAAGGAACTCTCTGAAAAGGTAAAGTAAAATAGTATTTCAAACATTATACCACTCATAATTCATAACATTTTTATTTGCCTTTCCTAAACTTCGTATGACAATGAGATTTCTTTCCACTAAATAAAACAATCGGAAAGAGCTTTGTGAATAGGAATTTATACGGTGTATTTAGTTCTTAGTATGCTACTGAACGAATTAATTTTAATGAAAATAATTATAAATCGTGGAGAAGTTTCATGAAAGTTTTCAAATGATGAGTTTTACCACACTTTTAACGCGACGTTTTTTTGTCTTGATGAGTATATGTAAGCAATTGTCTACTGTATGATTAGAATCTGTTTTAGGCAGTCATTTTTGCTTTAGTCTGAGGAAATAGAGACCCTACAGACATTTTGCAATAGCCGATCAATCTGCCTACAAAGTATAATCCCTAAAAATTAATTCATCCTATGTAAAGTCTGAACTTCATTCAGAAAGAACTTCAGAAATGCGATCTGTTGTTAATCATTTCAGGTCGAAAGAAATTTGACATACTTAAAGTGAAACACGTTATTTTCCTATAACTTCACACAATTTGCTTTTCTGATTCATATCTTACTGTGGATACCTTACATATGAAAGTATATACATGTAAGAAAATTTGTTAAGAAAAGGCAAAAAATTATGCCAAACTGTTAGGTTTTGTGAAGTTTTGACCTACTTTAGTGGCCTATTTTCAAGTTCCCATTTTCTTTTCATTCAATAAAACTAATGATTCAGATTAGACACGTGCTTGATGTGAACTGTTTTTATTGAATCTACCAAATATGGCTAATCAGACACCATCTGTTCATTTGTAATGAACGAGAACACAGGTGGGGCAACCGAATTGTATTAACGAAAATTACAGAGTTACTCAGTAAAATTAGAAAACCATATCGTAAATCGTTCATTTGCAAAATATCAGTTCATCATATCGAACTGGACTGTTCCTGTTGAAAAACATCAATCCATTGTCACTATTCATGCGTTTCATACAAATTCCATTGTGTTCTAACTGTTCCTTTCTTGGTTATAGACCCTAAATGACATAGCTCAAAACCGTTTGCAATGGCGCAGGTGCATTCATTTTTTGTGTTCTCTCAAATACTAATCTTCTGGTTTCTTCAACACCTCTAGTTTTGACTTTCTAAACTTATCTCACTGAATTACACTTCTTGAATAATATTTTTTAATCTTA